CTTAAAGTACTTTTCTAGTATTGAATTGGTTTTTTCCCTCGATTTTCGGCTCATATAATACTCTTCTTCGTTCCAATAAATATAAATATATAATTCTATTTCTGTCCGACATATTTATTCTTTAAAATATACCGTCGTAAACGGAGTGTGTTTACAAAATGTCGTCGTGTAAACGAGTAAATAGCGAAGTGGCGGTTTTGGCGCGGTGCCCATTTTCAGGGGTGCCGTGCCCAAAACGCTTGTCGTGTAAACCGGCCTTTGGATTGCCATTTATCCTTTTCCGGTCATGATCATGATTTGTATTAAAGATTATGCTTAACTATTTTAGATCAGCTTAAACCATTCGCTGTGATCGTTGAAGAAGCTGCAGAAATAATCGAGGGTCAGTTAATTTCAGTCCTCCCACCCACTATACAGCATTTGGTAATGTTAGGAGATCAAGAGCAACTTAAACCTCGTGTAGATTGTTACAAACTGGCGACAGAAAAGAAACTTGACTGTTCTATGTTTGAACGATTGATAAAGAACAAGATGCCGTTTGAACAGCTTGAACACCAATGTCGAATGCGAGATGATATTGCCGATGTTCTTCGGGAACTAAAGATATACGAAAAGGGTTTAAAGACAAACAATGAGGTAGGACGCATTTTCCTTCAAATTTTGTTGTAAGTTTTCAGAAACGTAACTTAAAATATTGACTATGATCCAAACAACTTGCATTCATCAACAATTACATCCATTACATCCATTTATTAAAATGTAAGTATATTTTCCTCAGTGTGCCAATTTGGTAAAGAGTAAATAAGAAGCGAATATATTATATAGTTAATTAAACTAATATACTGTATTATTTTGGTGTCGTTACAAAGCAGTTATAGCAATCCAGACCTGTACTTATGGATGGTAGGAATGGCCTTTATTTCTAGAAATAAAACCGTTAAACCAGAATATCACCGTATTTAAGAATTCACTCTGATTTTTCCTTTTTGCATTATCTACAATCATGGCAAAAATTCTGTGGCCTCGTAGCTGTAAACTAAATTGTTTCTGTTCATATACACACATTAGCATCGTTGCGTATATGCCCCCTCCCCTTTTTCTTGTTGGTTTTGACATTGTATTTCACAAAGCTTTAACCTAACCAATTTTTAAGCTTTCAACATTGAACTGGGTCAAGGCAATTTAGAAATTGCTATTTTTGCAATGATATGATTGGGCAAGGAAGGTATTTTTATTTATGCACTCGCAATACACAATAATTTTTGGCAGGATTGTATGTAGCTTATAGTTGTAATCTTATATCAAATTTCGGGGCCCAAGTACCAGACCATGACCGCGTAGCCTTATGGATTAATCCGCCCCTGGTAATTTTCTATCTTTTTCTTAAAAAAGAAAACCTGCAATAATGAACCACCTGACTGCATTGGAGGTAGCCTTTATTTCGTCAAACACACTTTTCCTGAAGCACGGATGACAGGATCAAGTAGCTTGTACAACCACAAAGAAATTCGCCTGAATTGGACGTCGCCGTGTACTTGATAAAGAACGGATATCCTCCAGTTGACGTGACAGTGCTTTGCCCTTACCGTGGACAGGTATTTATCTGTTTGAGCCATTTCGCAGGCGATCTGTTGTGAAATTTGGATATTTGCATCCCTAATATACTATTTAATTGTATAGGTCATTTATACCATGCCTACAATACATGTAGCAATTCTCTGGGATTGATTAATTATTATCCTCTTCGACCACAACGCCAAAAATTGTTCACAAAATACATATTTTGAAATTTATTCATCCAGCACATTCACTTTTCCAACAACCTGGGGTGCAACTGCGGTAGACTAGGGGTAACCACAGGTTAAAGTGCGACCATTGTATAACACTGCAGTCCTGTATAACAAAGCACAATGATCTTTCTTTGACTTTGTTTTGTTTAATGTAATCCCCGAGCAAACGGTGCGGAGCACCATTCCGGGCGTTTGACCGGGGATGAGGCTACTAATTCCGCCTGGCTATTTACACCAGGGGAAAGGACGCACTAGCGAAGTCTAAAGTTCATCAAGTATCGTGGGCACATGGCTATGATCCAAGGGTGGACCTCCTCACTGCTCTAAAAAATATGGCTGTTTGCCTGGAGTGGGATAAGCACACTGAGGATATTAAAGCAAGATTTCAATTTTCCAAAGCATATATTTAGAAAATCATGTTTCACACAATGAGCTTTGAAGCAATTTTTGTTTGAAAGAATGAGAAGAATTGATTTACTACGGAAAATCGTGAAATATAGGGCAAGTTTGCTTTGAATGTTTAATGTTTATAATTTAATAATGCTTTAATAATTTATGGGGTAAAACATGCACTGCTGTTTTCGTTTGAATGAAGCTGTAAGTTTCCCAAATTACCCCGTTTAATTTAAGATGAAAAGGTAAATGCATATTAATTTGGAGACCTTAGACCTAACTGAAATTACTCAACAATTCGAAGTAGAAACAGTTTAACGGCAACGATTCGGGTTAAATATTTCATTAAATCAAAGTTTACAAAATCCAGAACAACGTACCTACAGTACATATTTCGAAAATTAATTGTTATATAGTTAAAAGCAATAATCTTTCGACTATTTTTGTCGTGCTGTACAAAAGTATAATAAAAATTTCAATAATCGTGTTGCTATGGCAACATTGACGTAAAGGAGAGCCTACGTTTAGCGTTGATGAATTACTAATACTTCATGTTAAATCAATGTTTGGAAATATGGGCGAGGGGTTTCCGCATGCATGTATTTCTAGTATACACTTTGAGACAGTTTATTAACGAACTAAGATAACCGTACACTTTTCTTATCCGGTTGATTCGGTTAAATCAGTTCATACATGTACTATCTGTAATGATTTAGAACATACACAATTCTCCAATCCGATTTAATTAGTGTATCAATTTTTTGTCATATTTAGCAAAAATTTAGTGAAACACTGTTGCAAGCAAGTAAAATACCTGATACTGCAAACACTGTTATTTTTAAAAATAAATAGTGAAAGTGTTTTGTTAGACTTTATTGCAAAATTTTGAATTGACGGCGATTCCATGCGGCATACCAAATATGGTTACGAGTTCCATATACGGATAAAATGTGCCCGCAAAGGGTGTTGAAACACAATCCAGTGGAAAAAATTGCACAATACTTTTTTTTCTGAATTCACATTCCATCAAAATATCCTATACCTGAGATTAGGATGCTCCCAGACCGCTCGCTGATCGCAATGATTTAGTAAGATAGGTAATAACATATCACACAGGAATTCTTCGTGCTTAATAATTATACAGTGCTAGGAATGCATGCATGCAGCAACCCCTCGCTTATATTTTCCAAATACTGATTTAACATGAAGTATTAGTAATTTGCCAATGCTGAACGCAGGCTGGCGCAGTACACTATATATACATGGACGGTTGATTTCAGTCAATGACGTAATCAAAAAGTGAAGCTAAAGATGGCGGATTTTGAAGCCTTTCTTGCGCGTCATTCTCAGTCCTCTTACGTGCGCGGTCAAATTTTTTTATATATTCAAGGCGGGAAGTGATGGGCCCGCGACTCTCGGGTTCTATTTTTCTTCATTTTAAAAGAGCAAGAAAGGAAATTAACTTCATGATTTCCTTCATCTTCTCGATCTGTCTACTGCATTTTCCCACTGTAAGTGTGAGTAAATCTGTGTTTTTCGTTGCGAATTCAACAACTAATTTCAAACTTTTTTTTTTTTAATAAATCTGATTTTTATAAATTGGGAATTTATTTTTGCTTTGGTTGTTTTCCTTGCTTTTCAGTTTTTACACCATTACGCTCATTTTAGTCCGTTTTCCTGACCGATAAAAATGTTTTTAACTGCAGTTTTTAGCCTATTTAATTCCATACATGCATGTCAGAACATTTTGTTTTTATTTTCTATTTAATAAAATCACTTTCATGATTGTTTTATATACCTAAAATGTTTATTTTAATGAGTTATTTATGTGTGTGAAACCTTGTCAATAGGGGCAATAGAGATATTTTTAATGATTGAGTGGCATTTGTGTTTTGTTTTGTCACTCCTTGTCATTTATAAAAATAGCAATCCCGCACTATTTTGCTTTCTTCTCACTCGAATATCGCATCTTTTGAATAAATAATAATTAAAATTTAGAACTAAACCAAAACAAAACACCAGAATTCAACTTTTTATTCAAATTTCGTCTGACCGCGCACGTAAGGCGACTGGGAATGACGGGCAAGAATGCCTTCAATTTCCGCCATGTTTGGCTTCACTTTTTGAGCTCAAGTCAGCCTTCTATATTATCATAGACAATCCAGAAGTTCAGTGGGCTGGTGTTGCACGTCATAGCGAAACGATTATTTTTTTAAATTTTATACTTTTTACTATAAAATGGCAAAAATAGTTGAACATTTGGTACTTTTATACTGTCTCTATTATAACTGTACTATATATACTTTAGATATGTTATTTTGCATTTGGGGGGCTTTGATTTATCGTAAAATTTAATCAGAAACGCTTCGTAAAATGTTTTGAAATGTCGCTTTTGCTGATAAGCTGGTTTACACTACTTAATTAATAAAACAAAGTACGTTCAAATAATTGAATAATTTCGGTAATTATTTAAGTATTTTCCTAAAATAAACAGGTAATTTAACAGCTACATTGAAACGGAAAGCAGTGCATGTGTTACCACATAAACATTAAAAGCAAACTAGCTTAGCCTATATTTCACGACTCTTTCCCAAAGTATATAAATTCTACTTATTTCTTGAAGGCAATTACATTGTGTTTTTGATGTTACTCTCAGTGTATATCCACAACGAGCGGATAGTCACAACGGATAGTCCACAACGGGCCACAAAAGTTATCAACCTGCCCAGTGCGGTTATTATGGACTAGTATCCCAAAGGTCGCGGGTTCGATTCTCACCGTGGTCAGGCTAACTTTTCAGCCTGCCCGGCAGGGCCGCCGAGAGGGGGGGGGGGCAGGGGGGCAAATTGCACCGGGCCCCGAGGCTCTGGGGGCCCCTAGAAATTTTATGTTAGAAATTTAATGGGCCCCAGTAATTTTTTCGGGCGAAATATTTCTGTTTTCGGGCCAAAATATTTGTGTTTTGGGGGCAATGAACCGAAATTTGGTATGGAAAATTGCGGAAAAGTCCAACAAAAGCAATTATAACGCACCTAAAAAGAAATTATTGTCCGAAAAAATTTTTTCCGGAAAATTTTTTTGCAATAGGGGCCCCTAAAAATTTTTTTGCCCCGGGTCCCCGCCAAGCTCTCGGCGGCCCTGCTGCCCGGTGTGAATATTCACTCAGAGTAACATCAAAAACATATTAATCTGAGTACATAACATCAAAACACAAACAAAAATATCATGGCAATTACATTGCTTGAAAGTTAATTCATTGTATGATTGAAATATTGGTTATCCCACTCTTTGCAAACAGCCATATTTTCAAGGTTAGCGAGGATGTCCCTCGCTGATCTCAAAAATATGACTTTAGACTTCGCTAGTGCTTTCCTTTCCCCGGGAAAAAACACGACTTTAGACTCAAAAACACGACTTTAGACTCAAAAACACGACTTTAGAGTTCGCTAGTGCTTTCCTTTCCGGCTCCCTGTTTGACTTTATTGTTTTAATACAAAGTTGTTTTTCTCGATTTCTGCTTAGAATATGAAACATATTAATTGAACGACTTTTTCACCAGACTTAGAATTTAAAAATAGTTTGTGTTTATAGCTTTAATTTGTTCACGAAATTGCAGATAAATTAGTTTACGAGTTTAGAAAACACAATACAGCGTCAGGACACCATAGAGCACAATAAAAACATGATATATCAAAAGAAAAAGTATCGTACAAATTGAGATATCTATATGATGCAAAACCAAATTTGCCGAATCATTCTTTTTGAAAAGTATTATTTGCTAGTCTGCCAGGAAATATTGGGTCAGATTTACTAGTCAACTAGCCAATCAGAACTCGCGAAATGTGGTATGCAACATTTATACTAAATAAAGTTTTTTTAAATAAATAAAATACAATGTTATTCCGAAAAAAGTGTGTGCATGGATACACTACACGATCTATTTGAACTGTATATTTCAAGTCAATTTCTATACATCTTCAGAAGTATGTTTAGAAGATGTCGATATCTGTTACCAGAAATACGTGCATGCAGCAACCCCTCGGCCCCGCCTATATTTTCCAATCAATGAACAAACATGAAGGATTACAAATTTGGAAACACTAAACGCAGTCTCGTGTTTACGTCAAGTGTTCCCATAGCAACACGATAATTTCAAATTTTTAACTTTTTTGTACAAAATGGCAATAACAGTTGAAAGATTAGTACTTTTAATTGTACCGTACAACAAGGAATGTCCGAAATATGTACTGTAGGTATGTTATTGGGCATTTTGTGAGCTTTGATTATTTAATGTAAAATTTAACCTGAGTCACTTCGCGAAATGTTTTGAAATGTTCATTCAACTAAACCATATTTGCGATAAACTGTTTTTACTTAATGAAACATGATAAGTTCAAATTGTGGTGTAATTTCAGTTCCGTCTTAAAATTAATTTGCTCTCCTAAGTTGTTTTCTTAAATTAAACAGGGTAATTTAGGAAACTTACAGCTTCGTTGGAAAGGAAAATAGTTCATGTTTTAGGCAAAAAGTTAAAGCAACAAAATTCATAAAATCAATCATTCAAAGCAAACTTGCCAAACAATTCTTCTCATTTCTTCAAACAAAAACTGCTCAAAACTCGTGTATGAAACGATTTTCCAAATATATGTCTTTGAAAATCGAAGTGTTCCTAATCCCAGTTCTGGCAAGCAGCCAGGAGGTCCATCCATACACTATGAACCTTGACACCACTTTAGACATCGCTAATGCTTTCCTTTCCCCTGGTGTAAATATCCGGGCGGAATTAGTACCCTCGCACCAGCCTTATGCCCGGAACGGCGCTCCGCGCCATAGGCTCGGGGATAAATATATGGCCGACATATTCAAAACACACTATAGGAAGAAGAAGTGTTTACCAATAACCGATCCACTATTTGTACTGATCAACGACATCCTCCATCTTCACCAGTGAAGTACATAAATTTGTACTCAACGATAAGCATTTCGTGTCCTACGGATGTGGAAAAACCCATTTAATTTACACGTCTTTACGCTCGTTTTTAAATACCATTGCTTCCCTATATATCGTGTTAACTTAACATACATACATTTACTTAAATCAAGCTTCGCTTTTAATTTTAGGTCGATAAAATGAAGTCTGCCTTTAAACTAAAATCGTCAGATCCAAGTGAAGAGTATTTTACCAAATTGAGAGACATCAATATTACAACTGTGGATAGTTTTCAGGCAAGTAGAATTTAATAATGTTCTGTGTAAATTATACAGAAGAATTAGCCTTACTCACGCCATGCACTATTATGCCTTGCTTGCTGTTTTCGGATGGTGAACCGCACGGGGAAAATAGACGGCAACAAGTGAAAAAAGAATTTTGTGAAACACACAACTATTGCTTATATGTACTATTTAATTCATGGAGTGCAATTTGGTCTGAAATCAAACTCTTGATTACAAACAATCGCATGACCGCGAAGCAGAAGTCCGATTTTGGCGATTTGTAATCACAACTATGACTAAAAATTTCAGATGAAAACCAGATTTCAGATTTCCATTATATTATATTATATTATATTATATTATATTATATTATATTATATTATATTATATTATATTATATTATATTATATTATACCTCAAATTCAAATTGTCCAATCAGGAAGCTTAGTTTGTGCCACGTGAGCATAAAATTAATCGCGATATCACGCCTTACGTCATCAATTA